GCAATGACTAGGACTTGCTGTACTATATTAAATAGAAAAGATGCTTTTGGGGATATTCGCCTGTTTCTTAATCTTAGCAGGAATGCATTCAGCCCTTTACTGCTTGAGTATGATGATGGCTTTGGGCTTTTACAGATGCCCTTTATCAGGTTGAGAAATTCCCTTCTTCTTGTACTTGCTGACAGTTTTTATCAGTGATGGGTGTTCAATTTTTCAAATAATTTTTCTGTATCTTTGGTTATTATCACAAGCTTTTCTTTGTAATCTAATCAATAGCATACATTATGTTGATTGGCTTTCTAATATCAGGACAATTTTGCACTCTTGGATAAACTCTACTTGGTCATGATGTATTATAAATTTGTGTTTATCAGGAATTATCATGCTAAACTTTTTAGGAGGATTTTGTGTCTATGTCTGATATTTATCTATAGAGGGTTTTTTACATCCCTGGTTTTGGCATGAGTGATATTTGTTCTTTTAACATGAACTAGGAAGTGTTGTCTCCTTTGTTTTCTCAGTTTGTATAATATAAACATTTCCTTAATTGATTGAATTTCACCAGTGAAGTTATTTGCGCCTGTAGCTATTTCTTATAGGAAAGTTTTTAATAAAACCTTCATACCTTTGATTGATAGACTCTGTGGAGGCTTTTGATGTTTTGTTTGGAGTTAGCTATGGCAGTTTGTGGAGAAATTGGTCTATTTTATCTAAGTTGTCAATTTTTTGCAGTTTTTAATAATACATAGTCTATTCTTTTAATTGTCCAGAGAAAAATAGTCATTTGTATTTTTTCTCTTTTTTCTTGATCAATTTTGCTAGAAGTTCTATCAACTCTAATAATTTTTCAGGGAATGAATTTTTGACTTTATTTTTTCTATTGCTATTCCATTTTCATTTAATTGTTTTCTGTTCTCGTTTTTTATTTCTTTTAATTATTATCTTAGTTTCTTAACCTTTTCTAATTTCTTTTAAAGAGAAACTAATTTTGTTTTGTAGTACAATGTATGTGCCTTAAGTCACTGCTTTATTTCCCAAATGTTGATGTTACATTTTCAGTAGGTTTCAGTTCTAAGTGTTTCCTAGTTCCAGTGTGATTTTTGATCTATGAAATTTTGTAAATGTATTATGGAGCCAGGCGTGGTGGTACATGCCTGTACCTCAGCACTGGGAGGCTTTGCTCATGAAGTATACCTTTTTGGTGTTTTGCTTGGATACCTGGGATGTAGATGAGGCTTCCCCATTCTGGATCAGAGAGACTCTATAGTCTCTTAGACTCTTCCTGGACTCTAGTATATCGTTTCTGCTTCCAGCCTAGTGGCATCTACTCTCCAGCGTGCTGACTGAAGTCTAACTGTATGCCCAGCCCCTGCTCCGCAAGGAACTTTGCGGGAGCTTTAGCCAGACATCTGGCTTGCTTCTCTGTGTACTTCTTTCTCTCTGGAACATTTCCTTGTAGTTCCAGCCACCGTGGCAGCTTAAGCCCGAATCTCCATTTCCTTATCTCAGAATGACTTCATCCTTCACTATTCTCTGCTCCCTGCTGTGGTCAGGAAGTTCTCAGCAGGTCAAGGGCCAAGAAAACCAAAGAGTCTTGCTTCACCTATGACGTTCTGTCAAGGGCCACAACCTTATACCTCCTGCTGTCCAATATTTTGTTCAATTTATATTTGTCAAGGAGCGGGACTGATTTAGTACCAGTATCTTATCATGGCTGGAAGCAGTTTCCCATAATTTAAATTCAATAAACATTATAAAATAAATATAAAAGAACCTCAACCAATTCAACAGAAAGGATAGGAAGAAGAGCAATAAAGGAAATATGCAATAATAAAAATACAAGTTAATCTAAGTGAGAGGACTGGGTGGGGTAGACAGGATGGGAGAAATTAGATCCATGACACACCCACTTCAGTTTTCAACACATTTCTGTACTATAACTTCAATAAATGGAACTCGATCTTGGCCACATATTGTGGTCAGTTAGGAATGGTTAATAAGGCTTTATTCATATCCTAAATCCTAGTAAAAGAAGTATAACTACATAAAAATTACAAAACCTTCTGCCTGGCTGAGAGAATTTTCATAGAAATGGTATTTGAACTGGACTTTTAATAATAAGGAAGAGTTTACATATTCAGGAATGTGTTAGAGGAGGAAGAGAGCTTGTTGGGTAAAATATTTCAGGCCAAATAAACAGTGTGAAGATCGTTTGAACACATCAGACAGCATAGTTTGCCTTTGTGCCTAAACATGAAAGAAGCTGGCTGTGCAGATCAAAGTGTGGGTAGAGATGAGCAAACCCCTCCCCTCGCTGGGTCACTGGCATAGGGGAAAGGTACGAGGATATTACCCATCATTACTGCTCAAAAATGGCATGAGATCAAGCTCCCCTTCCTCGGAACCAGACTGTATGTAACATTCTCCTGCAGAGTAATTGCAAATTGTTTTAGAGACACACAGTACCGTTGTATTTTGCCTCTGGGAATAGAATAGTTACAGTTACCTCTCTAAGCACAAGTGGCATAGACAGATCATTTGCTTTAAATGTTTGATTTCCTGGCAAAACTCCAAACTGCGTGTGGATCAGCGGATGCGTCAGTTCTGTCCACTCAGGGCCCGTTCAGCTGTGAACTCATTAATGGACTGAGCCGTTGATGACGTTAGCGCCCTCAAGACCCAGTCGCCTCTCCAGGCCCCAGCTCTCAGTATTGCTACACTGGGAATCAAGCTCTCAATAGAACAGTCTTTGGGGGGACACTGCCTATTTACACTCGAGCTCTGCGTCATAGCTTTCCTCTCATGTCTGTTGGATCCCTGAATTTTCACCTTACCAATGCTCGTCACCCATCTGAGATCATTTGTGTATGACCTCTATATCTCTCCCTCCTTCGTCTCACCCCTCATGTCTTTTCCTCTTTCCTTCCCTGCCCTTTGACCTTCCTTCTCCCTTGGAAAAAACACTTGACAGGCTATGGAAATGTACGTGTTCCCATACTTTTGGCATGAAATAGTTACTTTTAGAGTTCAATAGCACTCTGTAACCCTTTAATAAAATAAAGCCTTGATGGATTAAAATACAGTAAGATCAACATCTGGTGAAGGGGCTGCGGATTTAGCTCAGCGGCAAAGCGCCTGCCTGCCAAGCGCAAGGTCGTGAGTTCGGTTCCCGGTACCGAAGAAACGCCCCCCCCCCCCAAAAAAAAAACAGACAATAAACATTTGGTGAATGCCCACTACTCTTTGGGCTGTCCATCATTAGCAGAACCTGTAATACTCAATGTTTCTCTTTGTGCTTTCTATGTCAGAAATTAGTCTTTTTTGGTGTTCTGAGTATGATTATATAGCAAAAACATGCCTAAACATCCTAATTTTATTTCACTTGCGATGAAGTACAATAGCCATTCTCTCAGAAAACCTTTTAGTCAGAGAGCTCCATCTATTTCTGGACCCTCAGTTTTGGTTATTTCTTCATGCACTTAAAGACACATTGAAAATGCATTCAGGCCTTGGATGTGGCTCGCTGCTAGAGCACTTGCCTAGAATGCAAGTGGATTCAATCTCCAGTACGGCAAAAAGTAGAACAAAACAAAAAATGCATTCAAACCAGATTTTCCTATCTATGAAGTTATAAACTTCCTACCCTGAAGTTTATAAAGAACAGAACTGAATTATTTTTTGTTATCTTATAAAATAATTTAATATGTTAAAGTAGTTTTATGACATATACATGTACTCCATTATATATTTTATTTTATTTTATTTATTTTTTATTTTTTTGGTTTTTCTCCGGTACCGGGAACTGAACCCACGACCTTGCGCTTGCCAGGCAGGCACTTTTGCGGCTGAGCTAAATCCCCAGCCCCTCATTATATATTTTATATGAGGTCCAAGAAGGTTCCTCTTCATTCTGTACAGCCCATAGGTGGGCAGCCATGGTCACATTGGTGGTAAAACTATAGCACTTATGCCGCAGCCGGCTATTGGTATTATTGAAATCTCTAAAAGGTTCACCATCACTGAGAGCAATGTGTGATTAGTTAACATAATATCTTTGTCTTGATCCCTATTTAAGTGGATCAAGACATTTCATCACTAACTTTTATTTGATTAAAACCTCCTATTTCTAGGTTATTAAGAAGTTTTTTCATATCATTAATGGAAGTTGAATCTATTAATTTTTTTCTGCACTCATTGAGCCATTTGTAGTACTTGTGCTTTATTTTGTTAATGTCATCAATTAGGATGACTTTTTCTAATGTGAAACACATCTTGCCTTGTTGGGAAAATGTAAATTGTTTGTGATATATTAGTATATATTTGGTTACAATTCATTTATGGGTTTCTGAATCAAGATGTGTGATTGGCTGCTTACTTTACTTTCCTGTAATGCTTTTGTGTGGTTTTGGAACTGGGTGTTAGCTTTCTGCATCAAATACATTGGTCGTTTTAGACTCAGAATAACACTCTGGGAAAGCAGTTGCTTTATTCCACAGCACTGCTGATACCATTTTATTGTACCTTGGATTTCATTAAGGAATTGGATTATTAGTAAGCCCTCTCTAAAATTTCTATGACTGAATCTAATTGTTTAATATTTGTGGTAATTTACATGGATTAGAAAAAATTATTACACCTCCAAGGCAAAAAAACTCATTCTTTCTCCAAATATAGGTAACAACTTGTACTACATAGCTACGGTTTACTGTTAATAATGGTTGTACCTTTAAGGTTTCAAAAACATTTCAAAATAAAATCATTCTGGGGCTGGGGATTTAGCTCAGCGGCAAAGCGCCTGCCTGGCAAACGCAAGGTCGTGAGTTCGGTTCCCCGTACCGGAGGAAAAAAATAAATAAATAAAATCATTCTTTGAATATTCTAGAATAAATTTAAAAATCAAGTTCATTGGCACAAATTAATGTAGTGTGCACAACTGAGTGTGCTGTAAATGTAGCATATTGTTTTCTATTTTCTCTTATCTGGTCTGTTTCCTTACACAGCATGCTTGCAAGACTATACAGTTAATTCTGGGACTTTAACTTCTCCAAACTTCCCCAGTCATTACCCTGACAACTATGAGTGCGTTTATAGGATTACAGTGGAAATTAACCAACAGATTGCGTTGCACTTCACCAATTTCTCCTTGGAAGATGGCATAAGTGGAAACTGTATAACAGATTTTGTGGAAATCAGGTAAGTATCTTTATTTCATTATAATCTTTTTCATTATTTATTTTCATAAATAATCTTTCCTGGAAAGATTAAAGAAAGATATGAAAATTCTTTGTGAATCTCCTTGCTGTGTACTTTCTTATAAGAGATAAAATTTGCCACGTGAGGTATGATATGGAGAAAATTATACAAAATTCAACAGTTATTTTAAAGTAATTATTTTATTGGAAATGTTTGAAAATAAACTCCAGATTTTGTTGGGGAAAAGGTACCAGAGGTACTACCACTCTGAAATGAGATATTTGTTATTGTTGAATATCTCCTTGCTTTATGTAAAATCAATTTGAATTCTAGACTGTTTACTGCCCACTTAGTATAATTATATCCCAAAAATTATAGCAATCTTAAAGTTTTCACAAAGCTTTTTTATTTTAAAAAATAGAAGTCGAAGCTTGTGAACTTCAGTATGAGGCATTTTTTTCATTACTTGGCACTCTGAAAGAATGTGATATAAGAATTATATACAAAGGAGAGGCACACTAATTTATGCATTCATAGCTTACCATATCAAATTAAATTTTTACATGTATCCCAATCCAATTTTTTTAAAGCTAGACCCTTCCAATATCTTACTGTAAAAATTTTTTTTGTTCAAAAGAAAATACAAAATTTTATGTAATTCATAATTGACTTCACAAAAATTTATTTTATGATGGAAGGTAAGGCATTTGGATTAATACTATCTTATAACATTTATTTTATGATAAAAAGGTAATTAATTACAATTGAACCATATCATACTAAAATGACAATTTTTAATTGATAACAAGTTATCAGTGAGCTTTAATATTGCATTGTTTATTTACTTATTTTGATTTGAAAAACACTACAGTTTATAAACTAGATTTAAGGTCTCCATGGGTAGGGAAGGAATTACTTCCAGAATTTTTCCAAATTATTAAATTAATGCATTAACTGTTGAGAATTTCCAAGGAAACTAGAAGGGAAAAAATTTACCAGGTATAGTGGCACATGCCTATAATCCCAGCTCCTGGGGGTGGGGGCTTATGCAAGAGGATCCTAGGTCCAAGTCTAACCTGGACAACTTAGTGAGCCCCTGTCTCAAAATAAAAAAGTAAAAAGGGCTGGGAGTGTAGCTCAGTTCTCCTTGTGTTCAATCCCCAGTACTGGAAATAAATTAAATTTCTTTGTAAAATTAAGCAGTATTTATTTATGCTGCTAATAATTATGTTTTCTGTATTCTGAATTTTTTGACATATTTGCCAGAGGCTTTAAGGTGACGATTAAACACATTCTCTGTTTACACCTGGTATTAAGAGGACTTGCCAGTTATAAATGATAGTTATTCTTTATTAAATTATTCAAATGCTATTTGCGAGTTCAAGGCCAGCCTGGGCTACAAAGTGAGCTCAAGTCCAGCCTGAACTGCATAGAGAGAACCTGTTTCAAAAAGACAAAAAAAAAAAAAAAAAGAAAAAAAACCAGAAAATTTGAAATTGTGTTTTTATAAATAATTTTGAGAGGCGCTAACTGATCAGATGAGATGGCCTAGTTACGATCCTGTAGTTTAAATTATGTTTAATGTTTATCAGTAATAAATTTTCATATTTGCTTTTTGTCATAGGGATGGAGGCTATGAAAATTCACCACTTGTGGGAAAATACTGTGGCTCAATTCTACCTCCAGTAATCATCTCACACAGTAACATGCTGTGGTTAAAATTTAAAAGTGATTTCTGGTTCTCAGAATCTGGATTCTCAGCTTACTGGGATGGATCGTTAACAGGTGAATAGGACACAGTTTGGAGAATCCAATTCATTGCTTGCTTGATTCTCCAGTTGTCATTTTCTGTAGTGAACTTAATGTTGATGATATTTTTAATGCATACTAGCCATAAATTTTGAAAGAGAAAGGGGAGAAGTTCTAGCTCCTTGGTATAGTTCATCAAGCAGAATATCTTGATTAGAAAAAGTAACCATTAACATGATTATAGAACTGGAATCAGAGTGGCTACTCTTCATGACACAGTTTTGCTTTGCAACTTGATTTAGAGAAGAGCACTGTAACACCAGTTTGATACAGGCAAACTTGTGTTTTCCAGAAGGAAAAAGTGTGTATCATTCCATTTGTTTTTCCTGTAGGCTGTGGGGGCAACCTCACCACTTCCACGGGCATATTCACATCTCCCAACTACCCAATGCCTTACTACCACAGCTCCGAATGCTACTGGTCGTTGAAATCCAGCCACGGCAGCCCATTTGAATTGACCTTCAAAGACTTCCACTTGGAGTATCATCCCAACTGCTCTTTGGATTACCTGGCTGTACGTATAGTGTTTCTGTTGTGTATCCACTGCTCCCATCTCAGACAGCACACTCAGTGCATGGCTTTGGAGTTTTGAAATTCATGAAGGGACATTTAAGTAGAACATGCATATGCAAAATTTAAACAAAATAAAAGTTTTAGAAGAAAATTGATAAAAATGACAACCTTCTAGGTATAGTAGATGCTAAATGGCTTAATACACAAAGTATTTATAATACTTTGATATGAGCTGTTAACATATTGACTGTTAAGGTATCATTAAAATATCCTTAAAAGGGTTATGGAATTTATTATAAGCATGAGCTACATAATTTCTACATATGCATTGAAAAATAACAATTTAGAAGACTATTTTGGTGAGTTACAGAATATAATTAAAGACATCCAACTAGGACGTTTTTACAATACCAGTAAGTTATAATTGTCATAGAATATGCAGAGTATATACATAATATATATAACATAGTTTATTAAAATGTATTAAAATTTCACTAATTATAAGCTATGGAATCAAAAAGAAAGGCAGACAGTTGCTATCAGCCATGGACTCAAAATATGTGTTAGACTTTCACTTTCAACGTTCAGACTTCAACCTCATTTGCATACTGACTACCATACATATTTGTGGCTAAATTGTCTGAATTTATAGGCACTTCTGTATAATTTTTAAAAATATTTTATTTCAGGACTACTTTTGTTATATATCTGTATCTTCTGTACTTCTTTCCTCCAGAGTCCTTTAGATAACATTTATAGCCACAGCCATCTGATACGTGAAATGTTTTGTTAAAGGTATACGATGGCCCAAGTACGAGTTCTCACCTGCTCACCAAGTTTTGTGGGGATGGGAAGCCACCTCTCATCCGTTCCAGCGGAGACAGCATGCTATTGAAGCTGAGGACTGATGAAGGTCAGCAAGGAGGTGGCTTTGAGGCCGAGTACTCGCAGAGTAAGTACGTACTGCTGCAGTTCAGAGCCAGAGTGGGCCTTCAGACTCCTCGTGAAACAAACTGAGATGAATGTAATCCATCGTTTTGAGATATTGAAATTAATCTTAGTTTCTTATGTGAAAAATTTAACTTCCTTTGCCAGAGAAATGGGAATGCATGAAACTTCATCTCACTTAACTAAAGCCTCTAGCAAACTATAGAAACTTGGAAGCACAATATGCTGAGATATTGCAACACAACTCAAGGTCAGTGTAGGAGCTGAATAACCAATAGTTTATTAAAATCTGTATCACACAGTCGAATTTCCTAGGTACTCTCCCATCCTAGCTTTTCTCCTCTACCTTAAAAAGTATCTTAGGCCAAAAAATAATAATAATAAAATAAAATAAAAACCAACAAAACAGGGGCTGGGGATTTAGCTCAGCAGCACAGCACCTGCCTGGCAAGTGTGAGGTTGTGAGTTCTATTCCTGGTACCAGAAAAAAAAAAACAAAAAAAAGTATCTTAGTTTATTAAGAGAAATTGTGTTCCTTGTGAGTCATGTGCAATAGGTATCTTCCTTATTATGGAAAATTCTGGACCATATAAAAATCTTCCCTTATGATAATGCAAGCAGCAAAAAGCAAGGAGCATCAAATAAAATGGGTTTGGGGTGTATCCTGGTCCCTCATTCTTAAAAGGGTCAGTTTTCTTTTCTGGCTTTCCAAAATTTCTTCTCTAACATGGGTCAGTTAAGTTAAATGATATCAAAATCTTCTTCTGCCTTTAGAATTAAATAGTTTTTGAACTTCAAAATAAACATTGACAAAAACTAGACTTCTTTGACTTTATATCCTTTAATAAATATTTTACTTATTTTTGAAAGCATAATTGCTTACCTCACTAAATTTAAATTGAGTCATAGTTTTTACACAATTATCTAAACAGAATTGAAATCAAAACTCGCATTCCAAATGCACATTATCCTTGGATTAGTTGAAAGAGTACTAATGTTTAGTCTTGCTTAAACATGAATTTGCAGATTCACATTCACTTACCTCTGAGAGTTAGGCTGAATTCTAAATAATTTTGAATACTGTGTTTTAATTGGTAGCTTTCATCTTCAAAAATTCATCATTATCATGTTCATAAAAAACCATTTTCAAGTTCTATAAGGGATAGCTGTTTGCTTTTAACACAAAAAATCACTTCTTTAATTTTTATCATTTTGCTAATTTGTTTTTTGGTTACAATAAGACTGCTTTTAAAAAGGTCTCCCTTTTTCTTCTTATTCTTGAAATGTTTTATTTTTCTCTCAGTCTTTTATAATACTGAAGGAGTAAATTACAGGTCCTTAAAGGTAAAATCAGAGCTAACTTGTCAAATTTTCTCTAAAATTTGCAATTTAAAAATCAAGGGTTTGTAAATAATGTAATTTGTGAGAACCAAGACCAGACCATATTATTTATCATTCCATTTTACCTGAATCATCAACTTATCTAAAAAAAAAAACTATGCTTTAGAAAGCCTTTATGGAAAATACAGTGACCTAATGGATTTTTTTTTTCCTAATGGATTTTTAAAGAGAAATGGTTTGAGTTTTAAGCCAGCTCCAGCAAAGGGAGATTTTCAAGAGCCATAAATCAAATGCCTATTTTTCCAAATGAAAGTTTATCAGTGGTGCTCTAGCCATCTTTCAGAAAGCTCTGTTGTTACAGAAATATGTCTACTAGGACTATCTTTTTAAGAGACAACTCTTTCAATGTAATACTTTCCCATTCTCTTTTATTGCATGTCATAAAGACAATATGGAAAAGACTTGGCAAAAGGCATACATAGGCCTTGTCTAAATCATTAAGATAGACCGAATTTGGCAACAGACATAGCTAAAGGTACCTAGGATGATTTTCTGGAAAATTCAACTCAAGAAAACAACACCACTGGATTGAAAATGTTTTCTTCAAAATTAAAGACTTTCATTTCTACTTTAAATCTTTGAAGCTTCCTCTATTCTCTTGGTACTTCCTGATGAGTAACTAGAGGGATAACAGAGCCATTGTTGTGAATTTCATACAGATATTTGAATGTTCAAAAAACCATGTTGTTATGCATTTTTATCATTCACATGAAAGACTTCTTCAAATCCATAAAAAGACTTTATATTTTTCAAACTGTTGAATTCAAAGATCAGAGATTTTTTTTTTTTTTTTTTTTGCCTTCCAAATGTTAAAGCTACAGGAACGGAAGCCTGGAATATTTAATACACTCCATTTAAAAAAAAAATTAGACTGCTCTCTGAGTAGAGCCAAGTTATTCTGTTGTCCACAAATTCATGGGAATTTGATCCCTATTTTAGCATAGCTATCAATTTGGTGGCATCTTAAAGTTTGAATTCACATAAGTATTATTTCACATTTATTCCCAATGGAGACTCATTACAAAATTGCTGCACTAAATAAATATGTTTATATGTTTTTTAATCTAGATGTTTTCTTAAAGGAGAATCTCTCACTTTGGAGCAATTACATATATGTATATGTATATGTGTATATATGATTGTGATTCTTAGCAATCAATGTTATTTTCTCAGCATGTGAAAATGTGGTAATAGTTAATCAAACCTATGGCATCCTGGAGAGTATAAATTACCCAAATCCGTATTCCAAAAATCAGCGCTGCAACTGGACCATCCAAGCAACAAGAGGCAACACCGTGAACTATACATTCGCAGCATTTGATTTGGAATATCACACGAACTGTGCCGCCGATTACTTAGAGGTCAGTATTCTGGAGCTCAATAATCATTGCATCTTCAGATCAAGTAGACAAACCAAACTAGAACTCACTTTAGAATCAACTGCCTACAGATCCTGCCCTGTAATACATCAACTACCCATGGTACTTGAACAGTGTCTCCTTCACTGTATCATTTTAATATTAAAGATATTTAAATCAGTAAACTAAGTGTAGGAACTATCTATATTTTTGGGTTTCATTGTAACTTATGGACTGATGGACCATTTATTATTTAAATTACCCAACAGTGGAAAGATAATCTCTATATTTTATTTATTGTTTTTAAAGTTTGCTTTCTATAAGTAAGAGAGAAAAGATGTTTGAGTATCTTGGATTTATAGAATACTGTCTTGGTTACTTTTTTCTCATTGCTGGGACAAAAATACCTGATGCCCAAAATTAAGGAAGGAAAGGTTTATTTCGCTTACAGTTTGTGGAGGTTTCAGTCTGTACTTGGCAAGTTACAAGGCAGAGAGGCACGTGGCAGAGAGCTACAGCTCAAGTCCACAGAACACAGCAAAAGCAACAACCACACACCAGGGTGGAATGGGGGAGGAATGGCCTCGAGCACCCTTTTCCTCTCCCTTACATATGCAAACTATCCACCCCAGGGTGGGTGTGGCTCTCACACCCCTAATCAAACTCTAAAAGCCTGCCCCATGGCCGCATGAGGCTTTGTGGGGACACCCAAACACAAACCGTAACAAATACCTAGTTTGCTTGGTACTCAGTATTATGCTTTTGATTCTCACTTTTATTTTTAAATTTAGGTTTATTTTAGTGCATTTTTCTTTTGGTAAAATGGAATTTTCTCCTTGTTATAAAAAAATGACCACAGTAATCTTTATTTCAACTCTCTGTGAAATGCTACACAATAAAATTCACTTGGATATTAGGCAATATGGACTTTTAGGACAACTATTTTTATTATAAGAAATTTTATTTAATAATGCTTTGTCACTAACTTGCATATATAACTTTAAGCCTGTAGATTGAAAAGTTCGGCAGCTACCTATTTTATTTACAATAATATTGTTATATCAATTCATATGTAAAATTTCTTATTACATAAACATATTAATTTAGATATATTGGTTTCTACTTTTATACTTTTTTGGGGGGTACTAGGAATTAAACTCAGGACCTTGTGCTTGCCAGGCAAGTTCTGTGCCACTGAGCTATATCCTCAGCCCTCTACTTTGATACTTTTGAAAACAATTTTATTCAAACTACTTACATAGATTTAACATTTATTTTTCACCATTAATGTATCATTTCTTGAGTTGTCTTATACCATCTTTATTTCATCTATACTGTTAACACTATTTGAATCTACATATGACGTTTTCACTAGAAATCTTTTCTGATGTGACAAGTACCCCCTCAGATGATATTAGGACATTTTTCCATATTTCCCTTTTAGAAAAGGACAGAGAAGTATTTTCAAAGCCCTTTGTTCATAGAGCAAACAGCAATTGATCTTATCTATTTTTACCAGTTGTGACCATCCTCACACATTCTTAGCCTATGGGGTTCTTGAAGGTACAAATTGTTTCCTACTAGCTTTGTATCTCAGGTACTTATACATTGGGACATTTAAAAAGTTCAAGAAGACTAGGGTTTGAGATGTAACCCAGTAGAAGATCACTTTGCTTAGCATGTGAGAGGCCCTAGGTTCAATCTTCCATGCTGCAAACACACACACACACACACACACACACACAATTAAGTAATTAAATTCAGTTTAAATTGAGTATCACAGCCATACTGTAGCATCGGCCTATTGATAGCTATTTTTAATATGAAAGAATGTAATTCCCAACTAGTCTTTTGGTAAATCCTAACATATTCAGTGTAATCCTACAGCTCTGAGCATCAGCCGAAATTGAACACATGACCTTGCAGAATATTGCAATGCACGATAGTTGTGATTTGATAAAGTTCAGTAGGGAAAGCTAGAGAAAAAAGGAAGCTTTTGAAATAGACTTTAAAGGAAGAATTGGTAGAAAGAATGGGGAGGAAAGAAGATGAACCATTTGCAGGATTGGACTCTACTTTTGATTCATTTGAGGGTGCGACTGTAACAAAAAGTGCTCTCAGGTAATTTTTGGAAGTGTTTGAAAACCCAAATAAGAATGCTTGTTCCAACAACTGCAGAGCAGCTAATTAGAGACCTCTGTGGATGATGTGTCTGTCATGTTACAAGCACTCCATTTCTCTTGTGCAACATTGATGGTGAAAGCAGCAAAAGTACAAAATAAGAACCAGAAGTTCAGAAAAGCTTTCCAAAGAATGACACAGTTGCCAGAGGGAGATTTTTTCCATCTCTGTAAGCCAAGTGGCAAGACCAGAGCAATAGCTACAGTGGCTGGTCTATGATGGAAATTTTAAAAGCATAAATAACCATGTAAGAGGAGAAAAGTGACAGGCACAAAAATCAGACTTCTATTATTTTAATAACTAAAGCTTTTTTTCAAGTGACTTAACCAAGTCCCAACTGAGTGGTTATTACTGGAGCCAGAATTTAGTTATTTTAAATTAGTAAAACTAAAACAATAAAAGGCGTGATTAGGTACTGGTCAGATTGCCTAACCTTGCTGAGAGCTGTGGGTTGGTAAGAATCCTATTGGTAAGTAAATTTAACATTTAATTTTTTTTTTGTTCTCTTGGCAAAATAAAATGTATTCAATTTGGATATAAAATATTCAGCTAGAGGGAGGGTCATTTTTTTTAAAGGAGTAAGAGTCACTTTTTAAAAGAGTAAGACCATATTCTCCATGTAATTACGGGGATATCAACCTTAAGGATTCTATCTGTATTTTACTACTTGATTTCACTTTTCTCATTTTTATTTTGAGCCTGAGTCTCCATGTGGAAGAGGAGATTTCTAGTAGATGACTGAATATATAAATAAGTAATAGATTTGTGAAAAATCAGCATAGAAAGCCCAGGGCAGGTGCTAGATCAACAAGGAGCAGGTACAGCGTGAAGAGAGAAAGGAGGAGATGATTGTGTCGTAGAAGCCAAAAGAAGAGAAAGTACTGGCAGGAAACAGTAATAGATGCTTGGAGATGCTCCCAGGTGGTGCAGAGAGGTCAGGTCCCTTGGAGATGAGTGCCTTTGTGAAGAGTGCTTGTGAGGTGGCGGGAGCCAGATCAGAGCGTGAAGAAGCAGGAAGTGGGAGAGGGTGAGCATAAATCCAGTCCTCTGATGCAAACCAGTCAGCCATGCTGCTTTTCTCTAGTTCTTCTCCAGACTTTCACGGCTTCTCTTCTCCAGCCGCCTCCTTCCTCTCCCTAACTGGTCCTCATGTGATGAGCTTTCATGAGCGGCGTGCTTCTCTTGTGTGTCAATGCCAACTAAAATGTGGCCCTCTGGAACGGGGTGCAACACTCCCACAAACTGGCCAGGGCCAAGTGGGTTAGTTTTACATTATCTGGTTCAAATACTTCTGATGTGATAGGTTGAGGTTAAATGGGGCTTATTGTTAGCCAGGTTATATCAACCTATGTGGAGATCTGTAATCTCTAGGCTACTTTTGCATGAATGTTATGGCTTTATAACCTTAGCTTGTAGTTTGAAAATCTAAAAGGATAGCATTCCTCGTAAATTACTGTATATTTAACTGAGTTAAATAATTACTGTATATTTAACTGAATTGAGAATTCTATCATACCTAGTCCCCCCAAATCATTCATTGTGTTTCAGAGAATTATCACTTGCATATAAAGTCATTGGCCATTGACCTACTGCTTCTCCAAAAATAATGGGTAAAAATATCACACAAGATGGCACATCTTTCAAACACTGTAAAGTGATAGATTCTTTTTGGTTAAAATGGATCTACTAGTGAGTGCTTTGCCGATAGCACTATTTAAACAACTAGGTAATAATAGTAGCAAATATTTACTGAGTAGTCTAGTATTTATTTATTTTCTAAGTAATCCTCCTAGCACCTGTGAAAGAAGAAAATATCATTCTCATTTAAGTTGAGAAAAATGAGGCAGGTACAGGTTGTCCATGGTTGCAAAGATTATCAGTGACAAAGCCAGGTGGTACACCAAGCCACCGGGCTAGTGCTTTTGATAATGACATGCCATGGACATTCACTACTTTCGTCACCTTTGCTTGGAGCAGGAGTGCATGTCCTCAGATCTACTATTCACTGACACTCTTACAGAGAGAAATTTATGTTGTTGTAGCATAATTGTAGCATAATTTCATTAAGGAAGTGGTCATTATTACAATCAGATTTTTCTTTATACATGTTGAAAATTACTTCTAGAGTCTGATTTGGAAGTTTTTCAAAAACTACCAATGTTCTCATCTGTGAGATTCTACAACAGATCTTTCCCAGACCATTGGCAGTGCTCCTGGTTTTCCTTGGTCTGGTTAGTGCACCTGACCGCAGGGTCTTAAACACACTCAGCCTGAGCCATGTGAAAAGGATTAATGCTTGGATCATTGCGGGGAGAGCAAGGGATCTCATGACACAGGAGAGGCTGACAAGCCGTGAAAAGCCCAGAACCAAAGGCGTTGGGGCACTCCCCAACATTTCTCCTTTAAGGGTTTATTCCTTCTCTGACTGTTCCCATCCATTCCTCTCTCTCTCCCTCTCTCTAGAGGCTTCCTCTAAGTTTCTTGTAATTCGAGCTTTGACAGCCAGCTACTCCAGCCAAGACTACATGACCACATCTTTGTCTGGGCTCATGAATTTCTCTGTAAAAGGCCAAGAACACCTGCATTTGACTCCACTGTGATTGAAGAATAAACTTGGTTGCACTAAGCATCCACAGATTTAGTAGTTCTCCATAGCAACAGCTCACATTGCCTCAACTAACTACATCATCACACTGGCCCAGTGTTTCACCCTTGTGGTATAAAAAAATGTTGCTCAGGCTATAGGCCTGGAAAACATGGGCCTTGGACTGAAAGATTTGGAGACACTGGCGACACTTTCTGTCCATTCTTTCATTCAAAAGGAATTATTTTGCAACTGAAAGGAGGACATGGATGTGTAACAAATAATACTACAAACATCTGGTGAACAGGATGACATCAGTGGCAAGAGATGAAGTACAAAAGAGATTGCAGGGAAACACATTTGACAGAAGTCACTGACATCAGGAGGACTGGAGCCTCCCTTAAGTGGGAAGGAGGAAGGGGTGGAAAGGTACGAAAGGATCAGACGGAAGGGGATAGTGGCAAATGCGCCAAATAAGCCCAGACAAAGGAAGTCAACTTGGGGCAATGGCATAGCTGTATCTGCCATGAGCGCCAATAGATGACTTACAGGTAGAGACCTCTGTTTTAGTAGTTTGGGAAATGCTGAATTACGCATTCAAATAGGGGTCGCTGTTTTGCTTTGCGTTGTCTGCAGTACTTTCTTGGACTCTTACTCTCCTTCTAAGCCATTGTCCATTCATCTGTCGAGTCAGTAGAATGTATTTTACATACCTGGGTCATGGAAAAGTAACTGTTTATCATCAGATTTTCCTTGTCATCAGGGAGGATACAGATATTAATGTATCATAACATAAGAATGCACCCACAGACTGTGTTAAGTGTTGGAGGAAACGGCCCCGGACTGGCGACCAACCTCATCAGCGGGTTAGAGAAAGGCATCCCTGAAGAAGCAGATGCACGAAGGTATCAGGAAACTTGAGAGCTCACTGTGGAAAATAGTCTTGGAGAACTTGACCAAAGCGTGGAGCTCCCAGGGCCTGGGGGCCTTGGGCAGGCAGAGCCCTGTGGGTGGGTTAAGAATGTCAGTGACCTCTCCCAGCAGCAGGAGGTCTCTTGAGGGCATGAGCAAGGAAGTATCATGGTCACATTGTTATTTCTAAAGACAGCAACTCTGGCTACCAGCATAAATTAGAGAAAGGTAAAATCACTATGGAGATCAGTAAGGTGAGCGCCAGGTATAGACAGAGAGAGAGATACTGTCTTTGCCCTCACTATGGAGGAAGAAGGTTAGTTGAAGAGTTTGAGGGATAAAACTGACAGAGACAAAACTGACAGAGATGATGAATGACTGGATGAGCACGGGGTTACACAGTGAAGGAAGGGATGACACCAGCCTTGTAGGACCGCCGGCAGGGATGGCCAGGACACAGACTAGGTCCCCCCAGGAAGGAAGCACTGTGGGAGGGGGCACTAAAGGTGAGTTTCCAAGTAGATTCATCTTTGCCCAGAACGTAAGTAACTAACACCTACTGGATATTTGTATTCCATAGAACATTCTCAGGGGAACATTATGCTACCGATATTTTCCAAGTTTATTCCATTTCAATGCTCATAAATAAGCATAATTTCAAAGTTTGTGAGGCATTAGAAAAGCTCTCCTTCAACCCCAAGAAGTTTATTTTGAGAATAACAGTACTGTTTCCGTTAACTAAATGGCTCCCATGTGCGGGCCATTCTTGTAGGCACCTTGACAGATATCATTATCTGTCTCACAGTACTCCAGTAATTGAATATTGTCACGTTCATTCAACACATAGGAGAGCTGAGATGAGTAGCAGCGCTCACCTCGGGGTCACACAGGCAGGAGGAGACAGAGGCTGGGGTCGCTGTGCTCGGGGTCGTGTGGGCGGTGTGTTGCTGGGTTCAGTGCTTGGTTTCTCCTCACCAGCGGGGCAAGGAGTCCAGCTTGTCTTTGCCTCGGTTTCCTTTTGTGAAAAGGGGGTAATAAGTACACCTATTCATAGAGCCGTTGTTGGAGTAAATCGGATAATGCACATGCCCGGCATATTCTGAGTACTCGAGGAATGTTTCTTATCACTTCCTCCACACTGTTTCACAGACAGCGTATAAACTCCTACTTGGCCACTCAGATTGTTCCTCGGACATTTCCGGAAGTTGCTTCCCCCCAGAACAACCTCTGTCTCCCGGAAATGCCATCTCCGCTCCTCGGGCCCTGTCAACTGGACTTTCTTGGGTTCACAGGCGCTTCTTTCTCTCCCCGTTCCTTTACTCGATGCATTTGCCCCTTGGTGGGACATCGACTTCTCTCTGTCCCCTGTGAGTCTGTTTCAAGATCCGTTCTGTCTGTCCTTTTGAACGCGTTTGCATCCTCTCTAGTAAGAGAAGCGTAAACAGATGTTTGCGTTTGTAGCGTCTGTCACTGCTGCTCACATGACAGCATAACAGGTGCTCAGTTTCCAGATGTCTTGGATTCATGATGGACCAGTCCTTGGTGGCTCAGCGTGGACAACGGGGCCAGAAGCTGCTCTTTCTGTTGCTGGAGGTGAGTTATCTGTAGAGCCAGAATTACTCAAACCAGCTTCTTCTGTGTGCTGAATGCAGTGGAATACTAAGTAAAAAGATTTAGTGTTCCTCTAGTCTGGCTCCTTGGTAGAGAATGACTTACAACACCCAGGCTTTTAACAGAATCTATCATCTTGCTATGTCATCTACACACCTGCTCAGTAGTGTATCGATGCAGAAGGAAATCCTGGGGCCACTCAGCCTGGGTTTAAGCCCAGGCTCGATAATTTATGAGCTCTGTGACCTTCAGCAAGTCACTTAGTTAGCTTCTGTGTACCTCACTTTCCCAGTCTATAAAATAGGGCAATCGAAGTAAATGAGCTAATGTATATAAAGAACCAGAATGAAGCTTGGCATATAGCCAATGCATGAGAATGTTTGCTGCCGTTATTTACATGGATACTGATGTAAGAGAGGCATCTCCTTAAGATATAGAGACACTGACAGAGCATTCAGTTCTCTAGACCGAGATATAATTGTGATTCCATTCACAAGAAACGTACCTGTCTTGTCCCCTTCTGTGGGTAGCCTCTTTCCTTAATGCATTTTGACACTTACTACACAGGGTAAATGATAACTAACAGAACCACCATTTTAGCCAGCCATGGTGGTACATGCCTGTAATTCCACGTACCTGGGATGCTGAGGCAGGAGGTTTGGAAGTTTAAAGCCAGCCTTAACAACACAACTAGACCCTGGGTTTAATCCCCACTACAAAAAAAAAAAAAAAAAAAAACAAAAAAACAGAAATAAGTCATGTTTTAATCCACTTAATTTTTTTTGAATTCTCTGTTAAACTCAATGAACAAAATATTGATTCCACTCACTAAAAAATGTTTTAGGTATTTTTGCTGCAACTTTAAAAACTGTTTTTGTTATTTCCTACTGTTCATTACAGAGAATAGGCCTTCTTGTTATACTTTAACCATTCTTTTTTTAAAAAAAAAATCAATAAAGAAACCTGAAATACTTTTCTTGAGTAGTTGATATCTTTCAAAATATTGAGTTCACAGTGGCATGCACATATAATCCTTGCTACTGGGGAGGCTGAAGCAGGAGGATCATAATTTGAAGGCCTGCCTGGGCAGCATAGTGAGCCCTAAAAGGATTACTAAACCTCAAAAAGAATCACTAAACCTATAGTTTCCATAACTCTCGATGGAAATAGCAACATTACTTACATTACAGAGTTGCTGGGGATTTTAACATAGAATACTGCCCAGGAAAATAAGTGTTCATAAATACTATTTATTATTATTTTAACATAAAGATGATTGTATGGATTATTTTTTTTTTCTCACTAAAGGATTTTGTGGTAAATAAAAGCCTATGACTACCAAAACAGCCTTCCCAACTGTGATGAGCACAGATTAACTAGAGTGGCCCGGTGTCAGCGTCCCCATCCCCTAATCCCCAGTTTTCTTAGAAAAGCCACAGCGGGTCTCAGCCTGACTCTAGGAAGTATGGCAGTTAAAATTTGCACCTCGGAGAAATGCAGAGAAGCCAGAGAGATTTTATGGCTTAGCAGTAATGTGTCTGAGCTCACATTCATCCTCATGGCCCTTCCTTCCATGCTTCCTGGGCAGATTTGTCATGCTTCCCAGAACTGTCTGCAGCGTTAGCTTCTAGGTCTTTGGCAACTGGTTTAGAGCTCAGAGAGAAGCTGCTATAAGTCTGCTACTCAAAACTATGCATAAAGAGTGGCATCTATCAAACAATTCAGTTTGTGTCTTGACTGCGTTCAAAAGAAGTGTCATATGAGATGTACGCATTAGTTAATTAAGATAAACCTGTGTAGTGTTGTTAAGCATGGCAAGAATTTTATGAGAAATCTGGGCTCCAAATGTACCTGAGTGAAATGAGATTTTCTTTTATTCAAAAAAAAACTCAAAGGAGAAATGTTATTTCACTGTGATCAAAATCTCATCCTTTTTCAAAAAGAAACAGAGATCTTTTCTGACCACTCCTCACCATGAAGAGTTTTCATGTGACTTCGTTAGTTTGCTGCAGTTAATTAGGCAAAAATAGCCTTCAAAAGGGAGCTGTGGCTCTGGGATGGGAAACAAACTCTGTTTCTGCTCTCAGGACTCTTTCAAATTGAAGATCAGGATCAGGGTGAATACCGGGCAAACCCACCACCCTTTCCACGCTGTGAACCAGTAAAACTGCTACACTGTCCTGTCTGCACCTTCTCTCCTGGTTGTCCTCACCTGCTTTCTTCCTCAGACTGGGCAAGGGCAGCAAACGCACGCAAGGCCTCGTCCACACTTGCAGCTGGTCCTGGTGTGGATAAGAACGCTGTACTGAATAGGGTCACTCTCCCACAATCTCGTTTTTGAAATTTTATACCATTGTTTTTATCATTTCTCTTTTTTTTAAAATAAAAAAGAATGCATTGATTATAATGCTGAGTTTTAAATATTGGTGATCATACTGGGGGGTTTGGGTTAGCTATCTTGATTTTCTATATTTTTAAAATGGGAAAGGCTTTCAACTTTTAGGAAAAAAAATTTTTTTTGGCACTGGATACTGAGCTACATTTCCACCCCTTTTTATTCATTTTGAGCCAGGATCTGGCTAAATTGCCTAGTCAAGACTCAAACATCCTCCTGATTCAGCCTCCCAAGTGCTGGGATTACCAATGTGTACCCCTGCACCCAGTTTAAAACATTTTTTGTGTGTCTTTTTGAGACAGAGTCTTCCTATGCAGTTCAGGTGGGCCTTGAGCTTACTTTGTAGCCCAAGCTGGTCTCGAACTTGCGATGATCCTCCTGCCTCAGCCTCCCAAGTGCTGGGATTACAGGCATGCACCACCACACCTGTCCTAAAACTTTATTTTAAAGTTACATCTTTATCCTTCAGTTTCCACACTAGTATTTATTTACTATTATTTGCACTGTATACTTCTCTTGTTGACTTGGGGAAGAGCATTACTGATGGAAATTTAGATCCCTCCTAACTTTAGGTTGAGGTTCAAGAACTCCTGTTCTCTGAGTCAGATTCTTCTCTGTCCCTAAGTCCATCTCAGTAGACGGTGAGGCTCTCAAGTGGCAGAATGACAGTAATATAATCTTGAGTGTCTCACTGCGCTAGGTCATTTGGTAGATGAGGGGTGGAATTTAACATGTGTCTCCACTGGAGACAGCCCCTGGCTTTCCAAGCCTGCCATTTACCACTGGAGAGGGAATTTGGCACTTACTGGTCCATCAGTGACCATCAGAACTTATATTTCTATCAGGTCTTTGGCCCTTCAATGTCTACAGCAATTATTTTTTATAAAGGAGTAGTCTAATCATTAATAAAAAAAGCTAGCTACAATAATAAAGGAAACATTAAGGACGAAATGATTTCAAATTAGCACTGGAGTAAGTCACCTTCTGTAATCACACCGCAGAGAACTATGGTTTATGCATGATTCTGAGCCACTTACAAGAGATTATGGAGGGGCTGGGGATTTAGCTCAGTGGCATAGCGCTTGCCTGGCAAGCGCTAGGTCATGAGTTCGATTCCCGGTACCAGGAAAAAAAAAAAAAGAGAGACTATGGAGACAGGGAATCTAATATTTGTAATAGGTCAGCTGGGTACCTGGAAGCTTCAAAGGGTATGAAATCTTAAGATTGAAAAACCGTTATCAGTACGTATTTATATCATCATGTCAATAGGTCCTCAAAGATAATGCTCTAAAAATAGAATTACTTGGCTAGAAAGGAGCACATAAGGAACAAGGAAAAACTAGGTGAAATAAAAAGAACCTAAATTACATCACTACTACTAACATTTTTACTACTTCCTATTATTTCTACTTATACATTTATTTTAATATTCAAAGGAGATTATTCTGTACATTCTATCCTTTTTTTTCTTTGTTTTTTGGTACCAGGAATCGAACTCAGGACCTTGCGCTTGCCAGGCAGGAGCTTGTGCCACTGAGCTACATCCCCGGCCCACTGTACATTCCGTCCTGTAATGACTTTTTTCCTACCAAACAATAGTGCATAGATATTTCCTCACTTACTTGTTAGGCCGCATGTCACATGTTTTCAGCATCACGTGTTCCATTATCAGCATGCACTGCTAGTTCCAGCTGTGGAGCATTCAGAATCTTTCTGATTTTTACTATTGTAAACAACACTGAGACAAACATCTCTGCAGCTATATCCCATCTTTGACAAACATTTACCATCAGGAAGTAATTTTTAGAAGAAAAAAGAAAAGCCAAAATCAGCCTTCATAGCATCTAATATGAATAATATAGAGAGCAGAAACAGAAATGTCAGTGCATTAGTAACAGCGAATATCAACTAGCCACCATGCAGAAAGACAGCTCTACGGTCTGCCGGGAGCCAGACCTCCAATTCAGAGTGACACACAGTCACCCGGAATGTGTTTCTTTCCAAGGTTTCTTTCTCTCATGCAAGGCCAGCATTATGAGTAGTTCTTCATTCTAGATGGATATTTCACATTTCCTGCCCCACCCCGTAAGCACATGGCAGGGTGGCTTTTCCTGTGAGGGGGAAGAAGCACGTAGACCATTTGGTGTGTGTGTGGTAAGAGGCTTGTGTCCAGCTGTCGGGAGACATCCCAGGCTCTGGGGGGTCGCCATAGAACCCCCTTGGGTCATCACACTCTCATAAGCCTTACTCTTCCCCTTCTGCATAATTTTCACACTGCATTTCTTTTTAATATATTTATCCCCTTGGGGTTTTCTTCTCATCCACACTGTGATTTATGTTTGACAGTTTCTGCTGCTGTTACAGGAACATTTCAAAGCCCTTAATATTTTAGGTGAAACAGGAACACTCCACGTTTACTAAGTCACGTGCATAAATGTCAACAACAACAGGCTCAGTAACGACCCTGGAGGTGGGATGTAGCTCAGTGGTAGAGTACTTGCTTTTTCTGTGCAAAGAAAATTTCAATCCCCAGTGCTGCAGGAGATTAAAGATTAAAAAAAACCAAACCTCTCATGAGTCAGCTCAGCTCCACAGATCCTGCTGTGGTAGTTTCTCAGGCAGAGGAAGATCTGAGCAGGCACTGCAAGAATTTCTCAGTTTCCACAACTTTAGTACCAGGGGCTGAGCAGCTGTTGGAACAGCAAGGGGTGGGGGAGGCTGGGCACATAGCTCAGCCGCACAGCATCTGCCGGGCAGGTGTGAGGTCATGAGTTTGATTCCTGGTACCACAAAAACAAAAACAAACAAAACAAGAAAACAGCAAGGGGAGAGGAGGCTGCACCGGGAAAATCCACTTTTCACTTTGCGCCTTGGCCACTTTTCTTACCAGTCGGTGGATCTTGCTTATCCAGTGACCACGGCAGCCTAGGCAGCTCTTGATTCCCCATTCTCCTTGCTGCCTGCCCTGCCACCATCCAGCATCCTCTCCCAGCCTCCAACATACACACCACGCTCACCTCCACCCCGCCCAGGGTGATTTGCGTCAGGCTCTGCATCTGGCATGGCCTCCCTCCCGCTCCACACAACATCTGGTTGCCATAGCAACACTCTGCAAGGGCTACCCAACTTCTCCCTTGATTCATTGCTTCCCACATGAGTCTGCCCTGGTAATGATCACGCCTCTGAAATGTTTTGCCTGAGTCAGTCTCAGTTCCCCGTATTCTCATACGCCTCTTCTCAAGGCTAGCTTGAGGAGGTTTCTTTGGAAAATTATTGGTTCCCTTTACCTCTCACCAAAAGTCAGAATAACATTCTGGGTGTATCCTACATGCCAGGCCTTCTACTAAAACTGTTACATAGTTTGTCTCCTTCCTTAAAAACTTATGAGATAAGTAACTTTGTGACACCAGTTTAATAAAGAAAGTTTAGCTTGGAGAAGTGAAGTAATTTTCACAGGACTGTGTTCAAAGAAAAGTCTAGAGCTACACTGTGAAACTGGAGGCTGGCTATATACTACATCCCTACGAGAAAATGATGCTGTAGCTTTTATTTGAGATGCAATCTTCAATCACTGATGCTAACTTCAAAAAGGTTTTCTCAGATCTCATCGAATTTACTTCTCACACACTTAACCAGCTTCTTTGCCTCGACTAGAATTTTTGTTCTCTACAAAAATAGGGGATTTCCGCTGAGCCTGAAATTCTTCCTCACAATTGATAAGTTATGTCAATTATACATTTAACGCTAAGAGTTCAGGTTTTCTTTGAAAATTTCGAAGGTCTGTAACAGTCAGTGGGCCAAATTTTTTCCCAGAAGTTGCTAGTATTTTAGGATATCATTCAAAAGAAATTCTTGCTTTGTTTCCTCTATATAAACTATGTTTAAGTTTTAAAATTAATATTTCACTACTGGAAAAAAGAATTCCCTTCCAGAAAAACTTAGGAAATGAGAAAAAAATTAGAAAAATGTATGAATTTGGCGGCAATCTGAAATGGAAAGGGCTGATTTTAGTTGTTGTAGCTCATTACAACTCTAAAGTAGACTTAGAAAAGTCAATCCATTCATCCCCCACTCATATGAGACAATTTAATTATAATTCTTATTTGTCATAGTTACAAATGTTCAGAGTCATAAAACAGCTTAGCAACAAAGAGACACTGGAAAGGTTCATTTTTGTTTTTAGAGTGTGTAAAGTTGACTCCTATACAGTGAACAGGTTGAGGTGCATCTTAGATGGGCCTGGGTCCCTGGTCCCTTAGAACATGACTTCTGGTGATTCCTAAATACCTAAAAACCCATGGTCTAACCAGGCACAGTGTTCATGTCTATTGTCCCAGCTACTGGGGAATCTGAGGTGTGAGAATCTCTTTAGCCCACGAATCCAAAGCCAGCCGGGGCAACAAAGATCCTATCTTGAAACCAAACCAAACCAAACCAGCCCTTAATCTTGCAAAAAGTTGGACTCTCTCCGTCAGTGACTGACCATACTTTAGGTGTCTTCAATTTTATATCTTCCATCTTGTATGGGACCTTAATATGGAGGAGTCCACCACGATCATTTCACATTGCCTTTGGAGTCCGAAGTCACTGATAGTCTGATGAACTCTTTGTGTCCAACCCGTGCAGAGGAAGTTTGTACACACTGGTGAATGTGGCTTAGGAAGAGATTTCCTTCCTCTTTGTATGTCCTAAGAGTTAGTGCAATATTTTGGGTCTGGCTGGTGTTGAGGAGGACCCAAACCACAAAAATCTTAAATAAGTAGTAGACTTTTTAAGAGAATGACTGTAAAGATTTTATCCATGAAGTTTTGTAATGTACAGATTTCCACATGGGAAGACAAATGTAATGGCCGATTTGAAAATGGAAACATAATTTTAAGTTTTAAAAACGTTTCTCCAAACACAGGCACATAAATTATATCTGTATGTTCAAGGTGAGAGTCTCCAACGTTTCATGTTTGGATGCTACTACTTTGTTTTAAATGAACTAAGATCTGTTGCTCGCTCAGAGCAGATCTCTGCCTCTCTGAAAGCAGCCGAGACCACACTTTTACCCAGTCCATGCTGGCAAGCCCGCTGGTAGTGGCAGTGAGTCACAGCTGGAACATCCTGTGGTTAACACCGGGCTCTGAAAACAGAATCAGAAGCAGCCAGACACCAACCGGTTTCCATGGTAACACGTCTTTGTGTACTTTGAAAAATGACTGCTACTTTTTGTGTGGTAAATGTACGCGGGAATGAATTGTAGAGGTGACGTTAGCCATCTGTGTGACTATAAACAAAAAAAAAAAAAAACAGATTTAATTAAATGTAAATGTTAAAAAGACGTAAAACTGAGAGTATGAGGGACTTTTTTTTCTTGTGGAGGCACTGTCCTGTACTAATTGACCCATTAATGTATTTGCCATTACATTGAAGCAGTTTCAAAAATGTCTATCTGATGTCTATTTCAGTATATCATTCCCTCCCCTCCAAAGGCAAAAGGAAACTAATTGTCATTCATCAGCATGCCCCCCAACCCCACCGCCTCTCCTCCAGCTCCCCTTCTCATTCACAATGTGTTATTTGAGACCACTGAAAGGGTGGGCTCAGGGCTCCCCTTCAATGAAGCAATCCCATCGGAAGGAAAGGAAACAAATCCCCTCTAAACCATGCGACAATGCCACATCCTTTAACCTTGCTGAACAGGGAGGGGAAAAGTCTATGTGTATTGTTCACCTCCTTGTGTATAATGAAAATACTGTATGTCTCCTCGGCTTGATACCCAGGACTTTGTAAGTGGTTTAAGGCTATAGAGAAATCTTACCTTGAGTTCTGTTAGATAAAGATGAAATAATTTCAGCTTTGGTCACTAAACTACAAAGTTAGGAATGAGGGGCCTGGGAAGGTAGCTTAGTGGTAGAGTACTTGCCTAGCATGCTGGAAGCCCTGTGCTGGATTCCCAGGAACACACACACCCACACACACACACACACACACACACACACACAGGATAGGAGAACATTTTCTTGCTTATTATGTCTCTACTTGGGAAGAGGATGTTTATTTTTGCATTTGGTTCCAAAGTGAACTTCATGGAACAGAATTATTTAAAACTCGTACACTGAGTTCTCCTTCGGTGACTGGTGGTTTAGGAGCACAGATCTCAGTAGTCACCTCCTCCGCCCCCAACTCCACCAGGCATAGAGGGTGGGGCCTGAGACCTGCGGTGCAGGGCTATTGTTTGTGTTCCTTCTTCGGCTGTTTTTTCTTCCTTTCTGTCATTATCCTTTCCTCACTATGGCTTCTGACAAATGTGCAAAATATTAGAAACCTGACAGGAAACACACACTTTTTTTAATGCAATTTTTTTTAAGGAAGCAGAAGTCACATGCCTGAAAGATAAAGCTCATTTTTATTCATTTGCTTAAAAGCTTAGGTTTAGTGCAGAAGGATGAATGAATTATATAATGGACTCTGGTGTTCTGCTTTGACATCTCCGCTGATCTTGCCTGAAATCTTGTGAGCCTCGGTGCCCTGATAAGCAGCCAATACAAGAGCACCACAAGACAGGCTAAGATTTAGAAATCCATGATTTATTACGACCTGGAACAAGGCCCCACCTGTTTTTCCCCTTTGTGGGGACAGCTGTAAAGGATCCACCCACTTTACCACCTAAAATGAAATGTAGGACTGTGTGATTTTAATGTCTATCTAACTATATAGGGTTCAAGTACTAGTACAGATCAAATCCTTAAAATAAATGCAGTTTGGGGGAAACACCCGTGTTCATTCATCAGGGAGGCACTGGAAACTGACCTCATCAAATCTGCCCTAGGCAGACACAGTACCCTAAGAACTCACAGTCCCTAAAGCCCATAAGCTCTGTGCCTACAACCAGAATACCAGAGGGTGTGATCACTTGCACAAAAGAGGTACAAATTGGGAGCTGAAAGATTTCAAAGGAAAACTAATCTGTGCCTCACTATGGAGATCAGCAAAGGCTCCAGGGAAGAAGGTACTTTATAAAATTGGGTTATCATTTTCCATAGTCAAACCAGTATGCTTCAAGCAATGTTTTATATCTTAACATTTCTGCAACTGAAAAAATTTGGTCCATTTGCAACTTATTGAATTCATGTTATATATTTTCCCACAGATACCTGCAAACTCACGTACAATCTCTGTGAGAACGGTCGAGGAAGTCCGTGTGTCCATTAGATATTTCCCATTTTATTGTCACAGGCAGCTCATCCCGAGGGTCACCGGAACAAAGCGCTCTGTGTGGACATGGAGAGGAAGCAGAGAATATATAATAGCCTGGCTCCCAAGGAAGCCAGTCTTTAGGGATTGCCATTACCTTCCCCAAGTGAAGAGAGACAATAGAGAAGTTTTCTTACTTTTTTTACAATTTTTAATTTGAGGGTAGCTGTCTGATGAAATTATTAAATGACACACAACAGGTTGTAGAAATACTTCTTGGAAAAATGGGCAAAGACCTAAGCAGAAAAATCTCAAAGGAAGACACGTAAATGCCCATTAAACATGAAGAACAAAAAACACAAAAAAGAAAAACACCCTAGTCTCAATGTTTCAAAGCATCCAATGTAACACAAATTAAAACAATTACAAAAAGAAAATACACTTTTCACTATTGGCACCAGTTGTAAATATAATAGCAATCATAACTGAGAAAGTTATACTGGAAAGGAAACATGCCTGTAATTTGCCAATTTACCAATGAAATATCTTGGTACAAACTTTCTGGTTATAAATTTAATACTACTGGGGAAGTAGCTCAGTGGTAGAGTGCTGGTCCAGCATATGTAAGGTGCTGGGTTCAATCCCTAGCACCCCCTAAAAATGAAGAAATGCAATGATATTGTATCAAGAGCCACAAAAGATTATGCTCTGATTAATTCCCTTCATTGGAATTTTTGTAAAGAAAAAGCTTAAATATGAAACAAATACTGGAAAAAAATTATAAATGCCATAAATGAACAACAGTAGAATTATAATGCTAACAAAGCACTCTGTACTCATTAAAAAATGTTTACACAGACTACTTCATAACATGTTTAGAGAAAAGCAAGGAAGAAATTAAACATGTAGCCCAAATTTATATACGTACATACCTGCACAAATGTGTGTGTCACACACAGATGAAAAAGATGTCAACAAAAGAAATTTCTGGTACTAACAAAATATTGAGTATTTATCCTCAGTGGTATTAACTTTGTATTTTCTTTTTTCCATACCATTCTAATGTCTGATTTTATGGTGAGTATTTATTTAACGTATCACCTCTCAGAATTATAATAAGTGCTATTCATTGAACATCTCCTAAGCTCATTACTATCTGAAGGCAGCCATTCTCCTTTCCTGTACCTGAATTATACTTTCAAATTGCTAGGCTAACATAAAATATAGAAATTAGTAGCTGGGTGTCCAAACTTATGGGCCTTAGAAATCAGATTCATCTCTCAATCCCTCTTAATGCAATTACCTATTTGTTAATTTTTGTATTAACCCTCCTGTATTCAACTCCTCTCTGCAGATGTACCTCTAGCGTTTGGACCAGGGAACAGTATTTTCTATATGAGCAGACATATCTTTTTCTTTGAAAAAAATCCTGTGAATTGCTCTTACATTGGGAAGTTTCTCTCTCGTTTCAGCTCTATGATGGCCCGAATCGGATTGGGCGCTACTGCGGCACCGATATGCCCCCGTCGGGGAGTACCAGGAACTCCAAGCTTCAAGTGCTGTTCCACACTGACGGAGTTGGCCACCGTGAGAAAGGATTTCAGCTGCAGTGGCTGGTTCACGGTAAGCCGTGCGCTCATCTCCCTTGTGTTTCAGTTGCTATTTGTCCAAGAATTGTTCCCTTCCCAATTCCATCCTTGGGATCAGTGCCATCGGCAAATAATGACACCAAGTAATTTAGTGCTAGGCTTTAGAAATTTTCTTTAGACATTAGTAGGAAGTGAAGCGTTAAATCTTACTGTGGGGTGGGGGATGATAAAAGGGGAGGTGAGAGAAGGCGGAGTCAAAGTGGAAAGAATTTGGGCAAGTGCTTAAATAGATGCAGAGAGCAATTGCATCAGAGAGAGAAGGAAACAATGAAATCACTCAGGATAAAGACTCACATCCAGGTGTAACAAACAAATAGGACTGTTTCATGTTGCAAAATGGTATGGGTGACATTCAGGTGCCATGGAGTAGGATGAGAGTCAAGGCTCACCTTGACATTACAGAAAAAATGAACTATAGGGATCCATTGACGAAAAAAGACTGGGAGCCAGTGAGAGAGATCAGGGAAAGATGGGGCTGAGAGAAGATCAGGAGCAGAGAATGTAAGCTGAATATATGAATCCAGACAAACGCATTGTACCTGCCAAAGAGTATACGCATTGGAACCCATCTTGAAACTGGTGATTCAGGAAGCAGGTGGAGATCATCATTCCCCTGTAGATGAAAAGTTATTTTCACCAAGAGGCCTGAGACTTCAAGGTTTACCGCCTGTGGGCCGATCAACAGGTAGAGACTCCCAGAGCAATGATTCTCAAGAGCAGCAGCAAAAGCACCAGGAGCTTGCTAGAAATACAAACTCTTGGCCCCACCCCAGACCCAGTGAATCAAAAACTCTCAAGGTAGGCTCAGAAACCTGTTTTTCCCTGGTGACTGGAGTTCGTGAGTCATTGCCCAAGGTTGATTCAGCCCTGAAAAATGTAATCTTCTGCCTGTCAGAGCAGCAGTTCCCCACCCAACTGTTAGAGCACACTGGTACACTTCAGTCCACTGGAAAGAGAAGTGGAGTTTCAGTGGTAACTCAGGAAGCAAGCACAGTCCTCTAGACTATGATGCTACTCTCAAACTGGAGATAATCCAAGCAAAGTTAACACACATACAGGCCAGGGTTGACTCTTTAAGGGTTGTTGATAGTATAGTGCACCCATATGAATCTCAGCACTATGCAGAATTGCCCTATTGTAGAGTCTCATTTGTCAGGCCATAACTCTATTGTCTTTTTGTCTTTTTGAGACAGGGTCTCACTATGCAGTTCAGGCTGGCCTTGAGCTCACTGTGTAGCCCACGCTGGTTTCAAACTCACAAAAATCCTCCTGTCTCAGCCTCTCAAGTGCTGGGATTACAGGCGTGTACCACCATACCCAGCCAAAAGGAAGATGTAACTAATTTATTCTATTTTATTTTTATTTTTTTGGTACTGGGAATCAAACTCAGGACCTTGCACTTGCTAGGCAGGCACTTGTGCTGCTGAGCTATATCCCCAGCCCCATAGCTCTATTGATTTACAATGGGATAATATTCTAACAAGTCCATTGTAAACTGAAAATATCACTATTCAAAAATGCATTTAATACATCTATTCTACTGAGCAAATGGCTTAACCTGGGCTACCTTAAACATACTCAAAATATTCACTTTAGCCTATAATATTAGATGGGCAAAAAAGCATTGAAGAAATTCAAAATCCAAAGTAGTCAAAATGCTTATCACTTTTATACCATTGTTGGTACTTTTATGCCATGTAGTCAAAAGTTCAAAGTCTAACTTTGATAATTTGGGGACCATCTGTATGTACTCAACAGTGTTAGATGTTCTGAGGTTATGAACTGGAGACTGAGTATATTTACACTGAAATATACATGTAGGGTTCTCCGTATTTAAAAAATATTCTATGGTAATCAACAGAGCTACTTACAACTTCAAACTTAGATGATTATAGATTAAGAATTCCCAAAGTAAGTGAGCTATGATAATTAACTTTGAGGAAACTTTGAACCTTCCTCTTCATTAGGAAAGTAGATTTAATCTTGCAGCAGTACACTCATTGATCCGATAATGCAAAAGTTTGGGCTGAATCATCTCTGTACTGTACTCCATGTCTCAGTTACTTTCTCATCACAGAGACCCAACACCCACAACTTAAAGAAGGAAAGGTTTATCTTGGCTCACAGTTCTTACAGGTTCAGTCCATAGTCAGCTGATTCCAAGGAAGAGAGGTCTGGTGGAGGAAAGCAGCTCAAGGCATGGAGGACAGGAAGTAGAGAGAGTAAGGGGAACAGTGGGGAAGAGATAAACCCTTTTAGGCCACACCTCAACGACCACCTCCTCTGACCCAACTTCACCTCTCAACATCACATTTAACTACAAACTCTGCAGTGCACTGATCCACTGATAATTATCACGCCCCCATGATCCAGTCACCTTCCCAAAGCCCCGCTTAGGAGCACATAAGGCTTGGGGAGAAATCTAGATATAAACAGTTACAGTCCACATCTGTTCTTCTGTGAGCTACAGATAGCATTCTAAGTAAAGTAGAGGAACCCTGAAAAGCCATAGGAAGGATAGGAAAATCCCAGAAAATAGCCTGGATTTCCAAGGGCTATAGTGAGTCTCCAGAGCAGAAGGCTTTCTCGGTTGTTCATATGTACAGAACTGCTGTACTGGGGTCTCTCTTTTTTTTTCCTTCTGAGGTGCTGGGGATTAAACACAGGACCTCATGCATGCTAATCATGTGCTCCAGCACTGAGCTCCGCCCCAGTCCCTCACTGGAATCTCTTGCAAAGGAAGATTCTGACCCAGGGGTTTGGAGTGAGACCTGTGAATCTGTAACTCTAACGTGTTCTCAGTGGAGGTTGGTGGTGCTGCTCTGGGACTTCACTCTGAGGAACACGGCAAGAATAGGTGTTAAGTCTGGAGAAAGAAACTGGTAGAAAGGCAATATCCCTGCGAACTAGAGAATCCTTCTTAGATGCACAACTCACATTGTTGTCACAGCGTTCACTGCAGCAGAACAATAGCAGTTGGGTACCCTGCAAGAGAAAACCTTACCGCTTCAAAGACCCAAAAGGGAAAAAAAACTTCCCTAGGGATACAAAGGTGAAAGCTAGGAAGTGCTAACCGGGAGACTTGGGCTCCAGGCACTAGAAGATGGTCTTTGGCCCAAGACTCCAAATGGAATTTTCTGGAAGGTTAGAAGAATACCTGTTGCTTCGGTTCCATGTCCCACAGACAGGATTCAACTAATTTGTGGTTGTGTAGTGCTAAATAATTCAGTCTTGCAGTCAGGATGAAGAGAGTGTCAGGAGCAACGGTTTTTCTGGTTGTATCTTTCTATTCCAGGGCACCCCCACTCCCCCACTCTGGCTATTCTAGCCATACAGCCCACAGCCACCCTAAGGAGCTCAACTGAATGGTCATTATTGATCACACTCAGGTTACTGTATCACCGGGTTCTTCCAGCCAACGTTCCAAACCCTCTGGTGAAAGCTCTGAGTTTTTGTTGGGAAAATTTTTTTTCTATCAATTCTACTTGCAATCTGGCTTCTTTTGGGAGAGTCAAAGGCATTCTCTGTCTATTCTCATTTTCTGTCTACTGTTTCCAAACTTTCCCGCTATTACTGAAAACTTGCTGAGTTTGGAGCCAGTTATGCAACAACATTTTGCCAATTGGGAGCAGAATTTGGAGAGAAAATTTAAAACTGTGTTGCCCACAGTATATGTATGAATGATATTTGGGAAGGGTCTACAGGAGGGAGATTGTCAGTAGTTAGAGATATGTAAAAGTAGCTATGATATGTTATAGTTATATAATGCCACGAGCAGAGCTTATGCTCTGCATCTGACCTATATCTGTAACATGAAAGAGCCTTAGAACAGGCTTCAACAGAGAAGACAAGGATCTAGGAGGTCTTCCATGGTAAGGTGCCCCCATTGCTTAGCCGTGGAAAATACACTGAAGATATAGATTGTGAGCCAGCATTCATCCATTTATGCATTGGGTATTAAAGAGCTGTTTTGTGTCAGGTAGTCTCCCAGGGCTGGGGACGCAAAATAACTTTTACCAGTCATCATGGTTCCTACTCTCACAGAGCTTACAAGATAATGGGAGAAGTGGCCATCTGGCAAATAAACATATAAAGAGACAATCAAAATTGTGATAAATGTCACACAGAAAGAGATCCAACCTGGGCTGGGCAAGAAGTCAGGGAAACCTTCCATGAGAATAGGACCTTAGGGCAAAAATAGGAGAAAGAAAAGGATTCCAGGTAAAGGACCTTGTGATCGGAGGAGGGAGAGGACCCAAGTCCACAGTGGCTGGAATGGAGTCTACAGGCTGCAGCCCTCAAGGAGGTTGGAGAGCTGAGAGCTGGTTAAAACACACAGGTCACATAAGGCAAAGACACAGGCAGTCGTATGGGCCACATCCTCTTTCTTTATGTGCACCCTTCATGCTTCATAAAAAAATGAGTTTAGGGGAAGATTCTGAAGGGTTGAAGAAGCATGGTGAACTGTAGGACTCATTACACTACACGGAAACATTAAACTTGCAGTCATGCATCACTTAACATTCGGGATATGTTCTGAGAAATGTGTCGTTAGCCAATTTCATCACAAGCGAATATTACAGAGTGTCTTTGCCCTAGCTGAGACGGCTACAGTGTCCCTTGGGGATGTAATCTTATGGGACCCCTGTGGTGTGTGCCATCTGACACTGCCTGAAACGCCATTGTGCAGCTCAGAACGCAACTCTCAATTTTCAAGCGCAGTAAATTATTCTTGAATGCGTTGTGAGTTCATACATGAGTGTGTACAATGCATCAGCAGGAAAAAAGCCTTCGAAAAGCAATTAAATTACTGCCCTGTCAGAATCAGGTGGAGGGCTCAGGACCCTCAGCCAGAGCTGACCCTGAGCTGATTTCTTACCTGGCTGGAGAAAGCAGCTTTTAACGCCTAGCCTTATCAGAATCACATTACATCTCAGGGCCTTCTTTCTCTTGTTCTTTTTCAAACTATGTCAT